CGGTGGCAGAGCATTCTGAGACAGGGCTGGCTTAGGGTACTTACGGAGCTCAACCTCAGGGCAACGCTCATCAACAACTAGTTTACTTAACTAGCATCCACAGAAAAGCTCATCTCCCCCTTGACTCTATGATTTATCTTTATTTTTTGGAAACCGAGGCTTATCAAAACTCAAAAGTTTCATCATGTTCCCAGAGATTCTATGCAAAATTTTCAGACGGTTAGAACATTTTTGATCGCTGTTTATGTGGCTGCATTCAGAGATTCTGTGAAGGAGGCTGTCTTGGCTTTTTTTGATGGAGTTTCCAAATTCTATCATTAGCCTCAGCATCTCTGCAATTATACATATTTGGTTATTAACGTGTTAGTTCTATCCTCCTCCTCCTCTCCCCCCCCAACACCCACAGCCTCTGAATTAGGAGCTGAGGAGACTGTGAAATTCTTAAAGTGATCATTATTTTGGTAGCAGCTGGTTCCTAACAGTGCTGGTTTTGTGACCTCAGTGACAGAAACTGTTCCCGGGACAGCGTTGTCCTAATTATATTCTGAATGGATCACAAGTCTGAGGATAAATCGGAGTTATACATCGTGGTGTCTGCAGGGCAGCGCTTTATGGTATGCTGGGAAACATCTAAATGTAACATGTGTAGCCCATGCATTTACTGTCATTAGTTAACTAAGCCGCCCTTGTGCCTCTTTCAGCTCCCTGACCCACATTTCATCCACGCTCTGCTGTTTTTCTCCTGCAGGGTTATTTCCTGAGTAAAGCCCAGAACTTATGAGTCTCCCAGCAGAGAGCTCTGTTCTGACCTCTCTAAATAGGCAGTTTCACCTGCTGGGCTAGTGTTTTTCGGCTTCCTCGTCAATCTGTTAAGATTTTACCATGCAATTCTTGGATACCTTTTCACAAAACGTATGGGCGATTGTGATTGCTTTTGGCCTGCTACACTTTTAGACTTGAGAGAGCAAGGAAGAGGTGCAAATCTTCTGTTCATAAATAACCAAATCTGTGGGCATTAAAAAAAAAAGCATTTGGTGCAACTAGAGCGTTTATGTGTCACATTTCACCCCTGGCACCCCTTTCCAAATGACTTGTTCAAAGAGAAGTTATATTAGGACAAATAGAAATGACAACCAAGGCCAGATGTGGGCTTTTGGTTGATATTTATGCAACACCCAAAGGGAAGATGGTATTGCGCAATAAACTAAAAATGTCCTAGGCAAATAAGGAAAGCTTTACCCCGAGGAGCTGGCACTGCAAAGGTATGAATTATACAACAAAGAGCTGGGAACGCAGAACAAATGCCGGGTGCGTTGGGGCAACTATAAAAGGGATTCATTGAGGAAGTGGTAAGGTAGCAGATGTGTGGAACCTACTTTGGTAAAATCAGGGCTTAGCACTTTCCTGGCCAGGTTGGTGTCTGAGGTAGAAAACACAAGCCAATGACTCCGTGGCAAGTAGTAGTAGCTTTAAATAGAATATACATTTTCAGAATGGAGGCAGCAATCTCATGTTGGAGAAGTACACCTTAAAACTAGAGAGCAGCGTCCTCAGTCTTTCAATGATCTCCTAGGGTAGTGATGACATCTCTCATTCAATTCCCGCCAAAGTTGTTCAAGGTGGCAAGAAAATGCAGACATTGGCTGCTTCTCAGCCCTTGGAGAGCAGTTGGAAAGAGAGCTGGGCTTAATGTACTAGAAGGATATTGAGACACATGTTAAAGTATAATAGGAAAAATTGCTAAAAGCCACTGGATTTCTCAAACACAGCTGGATTGTCCGTCTTCCATTCATTAAGGCGAGATGGGCCATTTTATCTCACAGTCTCCTCGCTTCGCAATTCAGAGGAATTTGGAGCAGGAGAAAGGAAAGGAGGAGTGCAGGAATATTTAAAATGATTGAAGGCTGGACAATGGCGACAGCTCTAGCAAATGCCTAAAAGCTCTTAGCACGTGGCTTCCAAACCTCTCTAATACTTTCCTGCTTTGGAGTCCCCTTAATTATTGAAGAGGGTTGTCCAAGTGTGACTTCCATCCCAGGTTTTCCTGCAGAGTTTGTGCATTCTTCAGAACGTTACCCCATTCACTCCCCCTCGCCATTGCAAATTCTTTTACATATATAAATCATTTTATTGGGGGCTCTTACAGTTCTTACAACAACCCATACATCAGTTGTATCAAACGCATTTGTCCATATGTTGCCATCATCATTGTCGAGCCATTTTCTTTCTAATTGAGCCCTTGGTATGAGCTCCCCCCTTCCCCACAGGGCTAATCCTTCACTGACTTTAGCATGCAGGACACATGAGGTTACTGTGCTCTCTTGTAACGAATATTTGTGCATTTTTTAGTTTTCTGAGTTTTCCTCAATCTGTTGAGAGTTCTTCATTTATTAATCAAGTCCATTTCTTGTCTCTCTCTCTGTGTGTTTACAGGTCCACGTGTTGCTGCAGCATTATGGCACAATGCGAACTGGAGGATTGGGGCAACGAAGAACTCAGGGCCACGCTAAGAATGAATTATTTCCCGCGGATCAGGAAGTTGCTGCAATAGACGTTAGGAGGCTGCTGGACTAATCATGCAGGGATGAAGGTTGCTTGGGCTAGGGTTGTAACAGAGTGGGTTGGGTGTGAGAGTTGGGATATATTTTGGGTGTAAACATCTGTGTTGTGCTTGACAGTGAAAAGGAAGTTTGGAACATCATCATAACAATAACACTTCCATTATACTTCCCACAATCCTTGCAGGGCTTTACAGCGGCCAACCGGTTTAATCCTCACAAAGTAAACATGAAACACCTACTGTTAGTATCACTGTTTTTAAGATGAGAGTACGGAGGAGGCTAGAAGTCAACTGATGGGCCAAAGATCATCCTGATAATAACATCGGAGTAGGCCCTCCAGCCAGGCATGATTCTAGAGCACGTGCTCTCCGCTTTGATACAGCATCGTCCTCCTTGTATGAGGATCCAGCTTCAACACCATGGCTGCGGAGGGACACAGACAATAGATGACTTCGATGGGGCAAATGACACGGTTTTTAAAACTTTTCAACATGGGCAAGGAATAAGGAGGTGAGGGGAGGTGAAATACCATTCCTTGTCATTGAAGGTACGGTTTCCTTGCACTTGGGTTTGCGTACACTTCTCTGAGGGCAGAAAAAATGTGGCTAAGTGGATGGCAGAATAGCTATAATCAATATTCATCACCTCCTCCTTGTCTATATGTGAGCTTCTTTGTGAAATCGGGCACAGATGTAACCTTGTTTTGCAGGCGCCAAACCACAGCATTATTGCTTAGGCCCCTGCCAGTTATTCAGGGGTTCTAATTTCTTGCCGCAGCCCTGACAAGTAGGTAGGTGCTGGTTAGGGACAGCTCTTGACATGGGGCGGGAGTCGCACGCACTGCACTGCACTTGTCATACAGCAGGGTGCGCTGCAGGAGTGCTCGTCGTGTCCTGGGAGCCGCTCAGTCGCCTGAGAAGGGCCGAGGCAGGAGGAGGTGCGGCAGGCAGGCAGCCCGCGGTTCTCTGCTCCCGCAGCTTCAGTACCCAGCACTCTTTCTCCAGGGCCAGCCTCTGACACCGTATTTCACCGTGTTGGACGTCTTCCATCCCATCCTGCATCCGGGCGGAAAGGAAAGGGGGGCAGTGATTCGCTGTGGGCCGTCCTAGGTTAAAGGATGGTGTTGCACTGGTTTGCACTCGAGGCGTCTGTCTTTCTGGGCCCTGAGGGTCTGCGCCACTATCGCTCCAGAGACCTCTGCAAGCTGCAGACAGGGGGTCTCTTTCTCTTTTCTTGTTCGCACCCTTTCTTCTTAACCTTTCCCCCTTCCAGGAGCGTCTCCTGAGTCTCAGGAGGACAGTAGGTTCAGGGTTCCTCGAGCTGGCACCTCTTGGTGCCTCATGTCTGCTCTCGCACCGCGTGCCCAGGTGAGAGGCTGCCAGCTTGTCGCTGACGAACCAGGTCTGCAGCACGCGCCACACTTGCTCTTGATCTCCCGGGCTCCAGAAGCCTTGCCCGCTGACCAGACCGACTCCTGGCAGACCCAGGCTCTGGCAGCCTGCGGGCTGACGCTGGCCGGCGGTGCCAGTCCCCGCTGGCGTGGTCACGTTCTCCTCGGTCTCCTTTCTCCTCTAGTCCGCCCTCTGAGGGCGCCCTCCCGCCACCTCTTTGTGCTGTTTCCGAGCCGTCGCTCAGGGGTCCCCAGGGCTTTTCCGGAGTGGAATCGAAGGTGAAAGCTATTAGAGGATGGAAGGCTGGGGGTGGGTAGGAGGAGCCTCCAGTGTCCCCGCCCCCTCGGGGGTGGGCGGGCGGGTAGGAGGAGCTACGAGCCGAGGGCGCCTGGGAGGAGCCAGAAAGGGGCTGGGCTACCCCACGTTGGTGGGGCGGACACGCAGGCGCGCGGGGAACGCCGAGAACCCCACGCGGGAGCTTCGGGAGACTCTGGACGCCGCTCCTCCCTTCACTGGAGAAGGGCTGGGGCCACGAGGGAGCTAATAAAGAGTCAATGAGCTGCAGCCCCCGTGGCAGCAGGAGTCCGCCCGAGCGGCCCCGGAGCCCCGCGCTGGGGAGGCGGCGAGGGGAGGCGGCTCGCCCCGTCCCGCCCACCCTCCGTTCTTTCTCTCTCCAGCTGGTCCCAGAGCCCGGCTCGGTCCGGCCCCTCTGCCTCCACCCCACACTCTGCCACCTCCTCCTTGTCCCACTCCTCACCTAGGCGACCCGAATTGCCATGGGTTAGGGTGGGGACCGCGAGCGGTGCCAAGGACCAGCCCTGCGCTTCCGCCTGGGGAGCGCGAAGCCCGAACGCCGCTGGCGGGCGCCGGGCATGGGGAGCGCGGCGTGAGCCTTCCTTCACCCCGGGAGGACGGAGGAGCGAGGATCGCAGCAGGAGGAGGAGGAGGAGGACAGGAGCGGTGGATTGGAAGGACCCGAGGGAGGAAGGGAGGGCGAGGACGGAGGGTGGGGAAGCGAGGGAAAAGTGAAGCTGGGAGGAGAAGCCGACGTTAGGTGGGGATTGATGCTTCTGTGTTTTGTTGCCGCTGCTGCCCTCGCGCTGGGAGCCGAGCCGGAGGGGAGGCGGAGGAGCGATGATTGCAGAGTTGGTGAGCAGCGCTCTGGGGCTCGCCTTGTATCTCAACACCCTGAGTGCGGATTTCTGCTACGATGACAGGTAAGGCGGGGTGAAAGCAAGGGGCGGGGGGCTCCGAAGCCTCCTGCATTCAGATTCGAAGTGCATTGTGGAGGCATTGGCCCAGGACCTGAGGTGTAGGGGGTGCCCAAACCCGAACACCTAGACGCACCCGCCGGGACCCGAGTGAGCGCGCGGGGCGGGCAGAGGGGTTCCGCGCTTCGGGTTTGCAGCAGGTTCTCTCCTTTGCTTCTCGGCTGTTGGCAGACGCTTAAGTGTCCTAACGGAAATCCCAGCAATTTGGGAAACTGTTTATTAACGTATTTTTAGAAAGAAAGAAAGAAAAAGTCCTAGGTGTTCTTTGGTGCAACCAAAGCCCATTAAGCGATTCTACGTCTGGGCTGAGAGGAAGCCGCTCCCCGCCCCCTAATAGATCTTCCTGTAACATTTCCCTTTATTGATGGGACACTATTTCCCGAGGTTAAAACGCACGCTTGGCAGTTGCCAGCATAGTGGCAGTAGGAAGCGTACACCGATTCGATTCAACTTTCCTCTTCAGGGTGTGGAGTACTTTACTTTGTGCCAAGATAATGGTGGTCGCCCGCCCCTCACCCCTGCTCCCCCAGATCAATGGATCGGGTAGCACTTTGTGAAAGTCTCGGTTTTCACTTCTGTTTGGGAGGTTTACAGGAGACGCTAGTGATTCTTTTGTGCTAATTGGGGAAGAAGACGCCCCTAGAGACTGAACTTGTCTTTTGCGTGTGGGTTAGTTTGGGTGGCTAATGAGTTCTGAACTGTGTTGTCTAAGAAACGGCATCGATTTCTGGAAAATGTCACAGTTGTGCTGGTGCCCCTACCTGTTTTTTAAACGTTGTTAGTGTTTAGAAACTGATGAAAAGCTCCAATAGCCATTACGGAAAATTCCAATTTGTGCCTTTTCCGGTGACTTAATTTGGTTACAATTAAAACAGATGCATAATTAAAATATATTAGGGAGAACAGCACGCCTGGCTAAACTTATTAACCGTCCTGGGGTGTTTCATGCTCCATTGAAATTAAACCATCCAAAAAGTGTGCACAGATTTATTCTGACAGCTTTTCAGCAGCCTCTCTGGGCTATGGAAAGTGAATGGATCCCTGGGGTCATCACAAGGCAGCCAGTGAGTGAGCTTAAGCTGAGTGGTTGATAGTGAGGGGGGTGAAGGCAGGTTCCTCTCCTAGTGGTAAGGAGACATATTCTGAATTCTCTGGTGTCCCCACTCTCTGACTAAAAGCACGCTCACAGACGTATGCTTTGAAACAGCAAATCTTGGTTCTCACCCATTTGTCTCTAAAGAAATCTCCCCCTCCCCAGTAATAGGTCCAGGAACATTCAGCAACACCTCCTTAATGCGTTTGGTGTAGTGTTTAGCACTGACTAGTTGATAGGAAGCTGCTATGGGGCCAGGACTTTTGAAGTCAGTATACTGCATGCCTTGCGCAGTGGTGGTTGTGGCAGACAGAATAAGGTGAGCTGCTCCAGTTTGGCAGGATGGTGCACCTGCTACTTCTAAAGTGTTGGCTGTACAAGCCCTTGCTTCCAAAGATGGGTGACTTTTTACTAGTCCAAGTACAGGGATGACTCTTGACCATTACTGTCTCTGTTGTGCACAGTTTGAATCTCAAGTATTTAAACCAGGAATGGAGAGTGTGTTCCTATTGTAGCACACTGATTATTCAAGAATTCTGCTGTATGGTATTTGTATTTTCTGTCCAGTCCTTAAAAGAGTGCAAGTCAGAAGAAACTATTCTTTAAAGAGTTCTACTAAAGCAGTACTAACTTTGCACAGACATTGTTCTATAGGTCTAATGCATCTTTAATCATCAGACAGAAGTGCTAGGTTTTTGTAACTGTTGGAGATTGGTGTGAGTGTGATGATAAATCAGTTGTGCTTTACTGGTTAATAGTTATTATAAATCCTTCATGTGTTATTGATTGAATGAGGTATTAATTTTCATGGCTTCTCGTTAGCTACACTCATGGTTTTAGAGTAATCATCCATCCATATATTTTAATTGATGGTATTCTCTATGTGGTATAAAGAATTTCTATACTGATATATTGAGAGCCTCCAAGTACAAATTACACTGCTGCAATTTGAAAAGTGTATTTTTGATGTCTCAGTAGAAGTGTGTGTGCCATTATATCCTCTTAAAAGTATCAAACTTGGTTTTTCTGTAGCCTAGTTAGTGGAAAATACATATTAATAGGAGCACTGAACTTACTTGGAATGTAAAAAGCATATTAAAGCTATTCAATGCCAAAATGCACCATCAACTGTAGTTTTTCAAATATACTCTATCTACTGTAACTCATCGGGGTCTGGAGAGGGCAGGGACCTGAGGAGCCAAGAAGAAACTGCAGGATGACGATAATGTGTTTATTTCCACTATCCCATAAAATCACATCTAAAACGTCCCTTAAATGACATCTGTGGGCCTTTTGTGAAATACAGTTCCATAAGGGAGGCTGTGTTGGAATGAAGAAGTAGCAGGCAAGAAGGGAGATGGCTCTTCATGCCTGACTAGCTTAAATGAATCAAGACTTTGTGTTTTAGCCTAAAGAATCTGGCATTTACTTTAGGAAGGCTTTATGTTGCTGAAACTTAAATATTATTGCTGCGGTACTTCCCAAAGTTATCATTTCTTTTAAATATAGTGATCGCGTTTACTTTATAAACTGTACATACAATTACTTTCAGTGTCTCATGTAGCTTGACTGAGATTAAATGGTAACCTAAAACTTTCTTGTAGCAGAATCAATTTCCATATAGTAAAATTCAATCTTTTGCAAGTGTTTCTGTGCTACACTGAAGCATTGCCTATAATGTGATGAAACCAGCTGCAGAACTGTAGGACTCACAATATATGATGAAGAAACACATTTGGGTTCTGCTTCATCTTCACCCCCTTTGCATACAATGTAGTAATGACTGTGGGAATGATAAATATGCTATCTTCGCCAAATTTTAAGTTATGTTGTCTGTCTCAGTGAAAGACCCTCCCTAATTTTCTGGAGAGATGTGGGAAAGAAAGCTTTAGGTCAGTGGAAAACAAGCTTGCTGACCTTAAATTCCCTGCTCTGTTCACATATTTTGTTGAGAATGGCATTGCATCATTTTCCCTGTTTTCCTTCCCCCTTAAAAATACCATTATAAGTCTCCCATGGAGATAAAAGTAAGAGTGGAGTAGGTTTATTTCCAAGCATCAAAGATAAACCATGACTGTTCTTTTGAAGTTTGATTTCATTTTGCCCATATAATCCAATTGTTGGCATGACATATACGCACGTAAATAAGGAATAACAGCTTCTATATATTTCAGCTTTCACGTTTTGGTAAAATAACACATTAGTCAAACAGAAAGGCAATTTGATATTATGGAAGTAGGAAGTTAGTTTTTGACTTCTTTGAAGAGTTTTTTCACTCTGTTGGCCAATGGGAAGCCTATAGGTTCCTTAGTTGTCCCATTTTGCAATAATTGTATAAAACTTGGATAAATGAAGTAGATTAGTGTACTCTTGGATTTAAATCACACCAAACTCTTAGTCAAACTTAGGAGCAAACTCAACTTAGTTGTACATTTGGGAGTAAATGTAAAATGGTTTTAACAGAAATACTAATACGGGTTTTGTTTCCCTCCAACAGTGATAATAATTTTGATGATCAGGATTTAAAGTGAAGGAATGGAGAAATTAAAACTTTATAATGATTTAGAAACATTTTAAGATTTCTTTAAACAGGTACTGAGCTATTTCTTCCGTATTTCCGCTTCCTGTTATTATTAATACAGGGTTTAGATTCCAATATGATGTGAGTCTCTTAAGAAATGATCATCTGCTCTTAGCTTGCCGTAGTGTAGGTTGTCTTAATTGCTATTCTCTTTACCTCTGTGGATTCTAAGATCGATAATGGCTACACAGAACTCACAGACAAAATTTGTGATTAAAGGGTTTATTAAAGATGTTAACAAGTTCTAATGCCAATGAAAAAATGTTCAGGGTAGAGTTGTTTAACAGGACATATAGAGAGTTCTTTCAGCTCTGCTAATGAATGCCGAAAGGGGCATATCACTCCACTGTAAACTTCCACCAGACGGCATTCACCTCAAGCTCTTTGGGTTAGTAAGCTTAGCACCTTGAATTATGGTAAGTGTCCCGAAGTACCTCCCTCCTGTAAGCCTCAGCTTCAAGACACCCAGCTTCATTTCCACGAGTCAGCAAGCTGAGCTTTCCCAGTTATGTCCAGAGTCCCCCCACTCCACAAGCCAGCCTCTTACACAAAAGCACTGTATGTTACTTGCTCTGTGGTTTGGGAAGTCACCACGCTGTTCCATGCTCTAGCGCCGGCTTCTGCAGTTGCTCCTCTGATGCTGATTATCTTCTGTATCCAGGAGGTTCACTGTGCAGGGATCTCAGGGACATGGGACATGCTCTACTCTTAGTTCTTGCTGGTAATGAGATCCCTCCTCCTATTTTTCAAGGACTCATTTTATACACAGAAAGATGGCATTCCAGGGACACCTGTTCACAAAAACTCACTGGTGAATCCTATCCGTATCTTCCCCCATATTTTTACCACACCTATGATGGGGAAGGTGATTTGGGGGAGTTAGAAACCTTGGTTGGAAGAGCAGCATTCAATAATTCACCGCCCTACAGAGTTCTCTCTAACTTGCTTTTGGACCAATTGGGGATTATCATCTCAAAATTCCAGTGTGTTCAGCCACTGAAAGCATGCATGGAATTAAGTGAAAGCCTATTGAGCAATTGTTATTATACATTTAAAATAAAGGAGAGAGATGCTTTGTATCACAAACTGTTGTATCCGTCCATTGTTGGAAGAAGCCAGTGTTTACAGGAGTACTGCTTAACTTTTAAATTTTCCTTCTCAGTGGAAAAATGCAGTGGGAGAGAATTTACAGCTTATGAAATACTTTCAGTGGTATTTTCTTCTATCTGTTAGAAAAACCCCTTTTTGCTGTTTTGAACAAGTGTGTTTCAT